TGGGCATTTTTTAGCAACTCTTTGAATCTCTTCCATCTATCATATACTGTTTCATTATTCGCTTGCAAAAAAGGTGGTACTCTTAATCCTTAGCTTTGTTATCTTGGCTGGTGGGAAGAATTTTGCTAAGAACTTTTGAAACAAGTTATTCTAAATTGTGATTAAACTATGTGGTAAAAAAGACAACAAACTTTTCACCTTATTCCTAAAAGAAAAAAAAATAAATCTTAGTCTAATTGCTTCATTAGAAACAATGTTTAGAAAAAAGTGTAACATAATTTAAGAAAGTTAGAAAGGTGGAGATTTGGTTCATCACGTGGTAACCTTTCAAACTGTATAAAAGTTTGGACCATTTTTATAATTGAAGACTTTATCCCAAAGTTATTGGCTTGAATAACTGGCATCCTAATGGATGGTTGAAAACTATTTGCATTGAGAATTACATAGTCCCTTAATATTCTTTGCCCCTCATTGTTTATATTTGCCATTGGAGTTGTAGAATGTGATGTTGATTACCTTTTTCTTCTTCTTCTAATGCTTCTCTCAATTTTTTGATCAACAAGAGCTAAGTTAACACTTTAAGAGCTACATATGCAAAAAAAAAAAAGATCAAAAAAAAGTAAAAGAAAAATAAATTAATGAAAAAAAGGTTTCGATTATAAAAGCTTAGGAATTCTTTATTGATATTACAAACCACGCTATAATTCCCAGTAATGGCACCAAAAACTTGATTGCTACATTTTGTATACAACCTGCAAGTGCACAAATCAAGTAATAAAGTGAAGTATTCTAGTATCGTCTCTTTAAGAATTATAGATTGTATTGTTAGGTTACTTACAAGTACCAAAGGTGAAACCTTAATAGCTTATATCTAAATAAATGGAAATTTAGGGTTTGATTACAAGAAAAATAAAGATTAAAGGTGATATGTAGGCAAGATTCTTAACTTCATCAACTTGCCACTTGGGAAGAAAAAGAATGTTGCCAAAAACTAGATCTAATAAAATAATATTTAAAAGATTACAAAGTAAAAAAATTAAAGATCGTCAAATTACTTGAAGAAATCTTGAAACAAAGATTACGTGAAAACAACTTAAAGAATAATAAAGTAAATGTAGGCTGAATCTTGCAAGAAAAAAAAAAAACTTTTATCAATCTTGGAAAAAGAATGCTAGCTGAAAATTAAAGAAAAGAAAGATTTTGAAAATAATATTTCTTGAATTAAAAGAATTTAAAGAAAACAAAAAATTTGTGGTTATTAGCAAATTTGTCACCTAAGTTAATAACTCACCTAAAGAACTAAAGAACTAAAAGAACTAAAAAGATAGAGAAGAGAATAAAAAAAAAGGATAATGAAAATGAGTGAATGATCTCCATATTTATAATGAAAGGTTTACCAAAAGGGGATAAGCTTCACAAGAGTTTGATTTTAATTCAAATATAATTGAATGAGCTTAATCATGATCTACAAAACTTCATGACCGAATGGGACTCTCCATGCTTGAGTGTTCCTAGCCAAATGGTCTCTTGGGGTTTCAATCTTGGCCCTTGCTTGTATTTAATCAATCTTGAATCTTTCCATTAGATTCGGCTAAGGCTTAGAGTTTCAAGAACAAGTTGTTTTTATCCAAGTCTTTGAATTTTAAATGGATAAAATCTTTTTTCAAATTAATTTCTTCAAGGCTAAGCATCAAGCTTCATGGTGGACTTCAATTTCATCTTGGCAGAATGCCTCTAGCCTTCCTTGTGGAAAAAATACATGGTAGCTCTTTTGGATTTGCCTTGGTTGAATAGATTAAGCTTGTAAAGTCCATGATCTTGCAACTTGTTCTTCTCCCTTGCATGGCTGAATAAGTAGAGTCTTTATGCAATACATTTTCTTCATGGCTAAGTAAAGAGTCATGTTTGGATCATAATTCTCTCTTGGCCGAATATGATAGAGTCTAAGTAGCTTAAAATTGCATGAATGTGGATCAAGGTAGGTGGCATTGAGCTTACATAATTGGGCCGAACATCTCCTTGTGTGTTTGCATGCATGGCTTGTATGAAAATGAATTCTTAAACTAGAAAACCTAAAACCATGAAAATAACAAGAAAAGTGCTAAAAATCATCCAAAATTTTAAATTTTAGATCATGTAAAAACTCTATATATTTTGGTACTATAATTCCAAAAGTTGACCCAAGTTCGATCAAGTTTGATTGTTTTTTTACTAAGTTTAACTTTGTTTGATCAAATTTGATCAAGTTTGGCAATAGAGCATTTGGGCCAATTTAGTCTAAAATCTAATTTTTAAAAATTTATCAACATTAAAGATAGGTTGGACTCGAATTGGGCCGGATTTTTAAAAGTCTTACAAATGGCTAAAATTTGTTCGGACAAACTCAGGTGTCTATAATATAACTTTTTTTATTTGATACAAACTTGCAAATATGTGTATATTACTATAGAAGATAGAGATGATGCAAATTGAAAAAAATTAATTTGACTCAACGAAAACTTAATTTTCCTTATTTTTATTATTTTTTTATTGCTCAATAATATTGTTCATTATATATTTAAGATTTTTTAACATTCTTTTTTCAAAATGTTTGATTTTCTTATGAAATGAAAGTTGGATTTGTATATATGTATCACTTGTATAAAGATTATAATTTCTTTTTTTTGAAGACTTAGATATAATCATGTGAAGAATGCTAATTTTATGTATATAATATTTAATTTAATAAAATTAATTCATGCATTTTATGGGTCATAAATTAATTCTCAAATAAAATGACAATTTATTTGTAAAAGATTTAAATTTTCTTAAATTTTTTTAATTATTCGAAATCATAATAATTTTAGATAAAATAAAAATATGATCTAACTATGTTATTTTTAATTCTCAAGTTTGAAAAATATATATATGCATATATTATTTCTCAAAAGATTCGTCTCATACTTTGACGAAACTTGTTAAATTGAAAATTTTAGTAATATGTCACTAAAAAATTTCCAATATTTTGCAATTTTTCAAAAATTTTAGAATAATATTTTTATTATTATTAACTTTTTTATGTATATGAATAAAATCATTAATCTTAAATTCAACATTAAAAGTACATGTATACAATATAATTTATATATGTAAAAAGTGATAAAGAAATGTACTTTACGATTTATAAAATCACTTGCTAATTAGACTTAAACTTTATTTCTAAACTTGAATTTTTAGAATGTGTTAACTTAAGTGTAGTCATTCAAGATAAGAATGAATTAAATTATCTCCAAATTCTTTTCCAGAAATAATTTTTAAATAAATATAAATTAAAAATATAAAAGATAAAAGATATATGAAATTAAAGCAGAAATAAACAATAATGAAAAATAAAAAATGTAGAAGAATCAAACACAAGTATTTATAAAAGGTTTAGTCCTTCTTCAAAGGCTTTACGCCCTCTTTCTTAATTTTCCTAGCTAAGTTTCAAACCACTAGTAAAAAATGTTTGTATATAAATTATAATCTCTATCTTATTGAGGTCAAGATAACAACCTTTACTCCTTTGTAAGATTCTACCCAATCTTTTACAAAGCTCTTAAAATGATAACTCACCTCTTGACTCACTAAAGTCCCCTTTGAATATAAAGGCTTTTGCAAACTAGTAAAAACCTCTAATAAGTATTTGCAAAGGTTAAGTACAAAGATGAAGAGACAAATGAAGATTGGATACAATAATTACAAAAAGAATATGGAATTGAAGCACTATGGACAATAAAGCTCTTGATTTCTTGATTTAAAGCTCTTGTTTTATCATTCTCTTATTTAAAATGTATTGGAAGCTTCTTTTATAGTGGGAAATCATCTCCGGCCTTTGTGAGTTATTGGAATTAATAAAGTGTCATTATTCACTTTAAATTTTGTTTTTATTCAAACTTCTTACATGAAGGAGATTGATTCTCATGCTTCCATATTTAAAAATATAGTCGTTAGAAATGAGAGGATCGATCTTGGATCAATCCTCATGCTTGGAAAATGGCGAAAGAGTGTTATGGAAATAGGGGATTGATGGATTGATCCCTTTTTCAAATTTGTATATTTTGATATTTTTTACCAAAGAAAAAGAGTTGGTTTTTCTCAAACATATTTTTTCTAGTAATATTGATTTAAGAGTATGAATTATTGAAAAAATTGAGATCAAATAATATTTAACAATTTTTTGAAAAATTGACTCAAAAATAATGTCAATGAAAATTTACTAAATGAATAAATTTGAAAATCATAAATTTAACTTCATATTTTGTTATATTAAAACTTTAAATCAATTCAAAATTAATAGAATGGACTTTCACCACAGTATTTGGAACCCAAGGTATTGGGCTAAATTTAAATAACCACTAAACTCCTTTCATTTCCTTTTCCTCCACTTCTATCGTCTGTTGTACCTTTTTTTGTTTTTGGATTAAATCTGAAATTTTTGTTATTTATTGACTATTGGTCGATTGTGTTTGTAACTTTCGCCGGTTAAATGTTTTGAAATTATTTTTTAGTACTTTTTTATTCTTTTTACTATTTCTTTAATTTTTTATTCGATTTGTATTATTTTACTTTTTTTTTACATAAATAAGTTATGAATAAGGTAGAAAATTACAGAAATTTGATCTTTAAATTTATTGAATATTATTTCTTAAATATATTTGCATTTCTTTTTCTATTCATTTTTTGCAGAAGAAAAAAACAAAAAATAAAAACATTTAATGAGGCAGGCATAGCATATGAATTCCTTCCCAATTTTTTTGAGTTGAAAAGGAAAGAATGAGGAAAGTGGAAACATCTATTGGCAACAAAATCAGATTCATGGGGCAGGATCAAACCAGTTCAAATTTGAACTATCTCTAATAAACTGAACCCAGCTACAAGCCTGTAACAAGGTTGCTGCAGTTGGCCAGAACCATGTGATTCAGAATAGAAATTCTCATTTAACCTGTAAACCAAGCTTACAAGTCAATAAGCCCATAAGAAACTGTCAACAGATCATCTAAATTATATATACAAAAGGCTTGGCCGCTATGTTCACTCGGATGAATATGGCTATACTTCAGCTCAAAAGGCATGGCTGACTTGCTTTGCGTCATAAAATAAAAGACAGATGTATATGGATCTGGTTCCCGATCTGACTGCTACTAAAACAGGATCAGCTGAAAAGATGAGCATTAAAATTTTTAATACACAAAAAATTTGCGCTTAGACAATCATCATTCAACTTCTTTTAGTGACACAATGCACTTCGCATTTCTGCTTCAATATGCTTTGGCCTATTTAAATTGTATTAAGAATAGGAAGTCCGAAAACGAGAAAACACGTTTATACCCAAAAAAAAAATCTATCTAAAATACACGATTTGGAAAATTATACAAACGAGAAAGCACTCACAATTTCAGTTGTATTTCTTTCTGGATCTATTAATCCACATCTGTAGGACTCAAAACAACACTTTTTTTCCTCTTTTATTATTTTTTCCCTTTTAATCAGCAATTTCTCATTAAAATGCACAGGTTCAACGAGTACAAACCTCATATTTGCAGTAGACTTCATAGATGTTGAGCTCTCCAATCAACTGCAAAGTTCTCATCGCTGTCATCATCACTAGAAGACTCTTCACTGTTAGATTCCTTGCTATCAGCTTTTGTCCCCCAGCCACATTTATTCGATCTAGTGGCTTCCAATTCCAATTTCCTCTTCCGCAACATTTCCACTTTCTGCTTGTAAACCCTGAATGAGGGGAAAGATAAATTAAATGGATGATGAGAATAATAAGTTGCTTTTTATTCACAGTGAAAGAAAAAGGTGGATGAGTGCCACAAACTTTGACAGGCACAATAAACTTACTTTTGCTCCAAAGATTCAGCCTCTTCTATCATTTCAGCTGCATCAATCTGCAGGTTGAAATAAAAGATTACTTACACAAGCCTGCTGAGTAGATAAATTACAATTTACAAGGCAGACAAACAGCCAGAGTGAGTGCTACAAGGAGATAAAAGGACCTAACCTCCTCTTCTTCCATACGATCGTCCACCTCCCGCAAATCTTCTTGAATCAACTTTTCAAATTCCTTGTACTCATCTCTTATCAGGATGCATAATTAATTCAAGGTTATGTTTCAAAAACACATATACAGATAGCAGAAAATTTGAACCAATTATCTACTGCAAATTAAATCTTGAGATAAAACAGTGCGTGCAACTCAAAATTCCAGATTTCATTAAACTTAGTAGTGAATCAGATGGTAACACCACAATGGTTTCTAGTGTGCAGTGACAACCATTAAATAGACACAGCCAATGAGAGGGTAAGGAGAAGCAACTGCATAAAATTATAAAATAAGTGTAGCATTTCAGACAGTTATGCACAATGACTTAGGCAGCATAAAGCAGGAGCTTAGAAGGTTGATGAGCAAGCACTCAAGTATCAGAAAGCAGTAAATTAAAACCAACTCATATTGCAATAGTTATTCAAGCACTTGTCTTTGGTACAAGGGATGGTGAGAAGAATAGGCTAACAAATGATAAAATAAAATAAGTGTTCATTTCCTGCATGAGATGATGAATAAGATAAGATGAAAATCATTCTATCCCACATTCAGGATTCACCTTAAGAGGAGCATAGTATGACAATGAGACGAATCACCCTCCTAACATACAATGACTCGATCCTATGGAGAAGGGTATTTTAATCTTATAAGATAAGATGCTAGATTGGATATACTTATTTTTATATTTCTCCTCCATCCCTAAAAAGTTACATTTTTTTCATTAGAAAACTGAATTTAAATACAATGGTACTAGGTGTGTAACTTAGACCAATGACAAAAAATATCCTATGCTATACTAACTTTAGCACACAGAAAACACAGCATAATATAAAACTATCCCATCATACTATTGATCTTAGACTCAGCCAAATAAGAAGATAAATATCACCCTAACCCAGACTACTTCCTTTGCTTATCTTACCCTATACTTTCCATCATATTACGATCCAAATGCACCCTAAAGAAGATAAAATTAGATAATCTGATAAAAGACCATTCCATTTCCAAATTGGTTATTTTTTATATGCTCTTTGATCTTTGCTATTTTACTTAAGTTTATAGTCAGTAATTATGTTTTTATTTATTATGTGGTCATTAGACTAGCATGCAATCTTTTACCGAGTTTGAATGGCTAAGATTCGATGGGGTTTATTTGTATCCAAGGACTATGATTAAATTCTACTCTAACCCAAGTATATATATTCCTTTAGACATGTTAAGTTTATATTATAGTTGGATATGATTCCTTAGTGGTTCTACAACCCTAAACCATATTGTTCTATTTCCAACTTCAATTTTACATTTAGCCTTTATTGTGGATTTTTCTCACTGTTTTGGTATTCATTCATTGTTTCCACATCTGAACTGCATCAGAATCTTATCCTATTCAGTATTCTCTGTTTGTCATGTATACAATTAGGAGTGGGACAAGATAATTCATATCCTAGTCTGTTTGGTGTGTGCAAGACTAGGAATAGAATGGATGATTGTTTTATCATTGGTCAAAATTTACAACTTTCTATACCGCTGTATGTTAAGACAATTTTTTCTTGAGAGAGAGAGGGAAAGCAAGTTCTTCGGATTAGGAAAGAAAAACATAAAACTAAGAGTATCTACACCACAATCTTAGCCCAAAGGAATCCTTTCTCCTTTTCAATAGGATTGAGTAAACTTCATACTAGGAATATGAGAAATCCACTTTTTCATATTAGTCTCCTCTTAGTCAGTTGCAAAACAGGGTTTATCCCATGTTCTCCATCAATGTTGTGTATCAAACACACAATTACAAATATCCACAAATTCAGAGCCTTGGACAAAAGAAAACATTTATCTGACCTATACATGCACCATAGGCGACAACATTTTAAAATAACAGCTTAGCAAGGTTGTCCAAATTGAGATGCATCTTGGAACCAGATGCTCCTCAGAGTCGGAATAATTGAATAAATCAAACAGAATGCCGCATGTCTTATTGTCTGACCATAGCACTCTTCCACAGAAAATGCATTATCTTATACCATACACAATCACCCTCAACTAAAATTTAAAACTTCACTCCCATAAGCATGTTTCGCCATCCTAAATTTTGCTTATTGCAAATCAACATACCATGATTAACAACTCATCAACATCAATATTGAAATGATGGCAAGTATCATTGCCACCAATTAGTGTAGTCCATGATCCTACCCACTACCCAAGAAAATGTATAATCTTATACCATACACACTCACCCTCAACTAAAATTTAAAAATTCACTCCTATGAGCATGTTTCGCCATCCTAAATTTTCATTATTGCAAATCAACATACCATGATTAACAACTTATCAACATCAATATTGAAATGATGGCAAGTATCATTGCCACCAATTAGTGGAGTCTATGATCCTACCCGCTACCCAACAAAATTACATGTTACATCCCAAAAACACAATTTAGCATTCCTTGCCTCCAGACCCTCAATTGCAAGAAGAGAAGTGCCAAATCCAAAAGTTTAAGTGCCAAAAGTACCCATACTTCCATTGCTCTTTGGATGTGTGCTAAGTATAACCGTTTATTAATATGATAAAACCACCCATCCGTATCTACCGGAAGAAACAAGATGCAGAATGATACAAATAAAACTTCATTACTTCAACCAATCATAGAAGAATAATATCTCAACCACTCCGTTAATTACACCAACAGCCATGGGATATCTAGCAATCACTTATTAATTCAGATCAGGAAACAAGTCATTCTAAAACAACCCCAAAGTGCAATTATATTTGACTTCTTTATGTAGATTCTATGAACAAAACTGTGAAGATATCAACAATGGATTTAAGAACCTTCATATATTTGAGTAAATAAATCAAAATTAACATCTATTGAAGCAACAATTTCTTTTATAAACAAGTTCATCTGGGTTCTTTGGCATCCACTAAGACCCCATTTAGATTTAACTTTCCTTCAGGTGTGGTGCAGTTAAGCACCTTTTCGGTGCAATTACACCATTCGGATAACCACCAGTGCAATGAGGCACAGCACCAAAGCAATAATTTTAGATTGGAGCAAAAAGGTCCAGTTGCTCACTGGACAGGACCTTTTACCCATAATACCCATTTTATTTTTTTAAAATTTGTTTTTATTTTATTTTATTTTGTATTTATATTTAAATTAATTCATTTTTTATATTTTATATTTCATACGTTTAAAATCATTTTGTTAAATAATATTTATAATTTTATAAGCATTGTTTGTATTTTTATTTTGTATTTATATTTAAATAATTTTCATAATTTTTAATTATTTATTAATTTCATAAATGACAATTAATTTAAAATTTTCATTATACACAATGTTTAGTCTAATATCCTTGATGGTCATTTTTTTTCTCACTACAATTCATCTTACCTCCACCATTGCATCTGCATCCAAATGCATATCATGCTACTAATTTTAATCTCACCACTACATTAACTAATTTCCTCTTCACTGTTGTTTTAATCTCACCAGAGCTAATCTCACCCTCTATCCAAATGGACCCTAATCCTTCATATTGGGTTACATGTTAAGAAAAAGAAAAATAGACATAGATCTTCCAAGAGAGCACAATAATCTTTTAATTGGAAGCAGCAAAGCATATCCTTATTTTGATTTTGAGATGCCCCTAAAATTGGCCATGAATAAAGCCACTTTCAAAATTTCAACTATTCCTTTGTACTATAACTAGCCTTACTGTAACCACTGTGGATAAAGTTAAAATGTAGGAATGGTGGCTTTTAAACTGCATATTAAAAAATGTTAAAAAGATGGAAACAATTGGATGTGAGATTCTATCCTAACATCTTGAGAGATAAAATGACTTCTTTTGCCACAGGTAAAATGGCCAAATCATCCTAGTTTTATGTGATTCTTCAATCAAATATTTATGATTCATGTAATTAACAACTGAAATAGTCTCTCAAGACCAACTTAGTTACGGACTTAATATATCAGTATAAAAACTATTCATCAGCTAATTACAAAGAGTACAAAATAGCCGTGCCATTTAAATAAGGGCAAAGTACGAATACTAATGTAAACGTATTTCGTAGTTTCTTAATCTTTTTGTGTTTTTGCAGAAGAAATTGTCTCTTGTGAGAAAGGATATATAATTTTCAGTCCAGAAAATAATGGCCTTTAAATATAAATTAATGCATCAAACCAGAAACTTACTTGACATCTATCTTAACAGGCTTAATTCCTCGAGCACGTAAATCAGCTTCCTTATTGTCAAAGAATCCTTCTGGAAGAGCTCCCTTTGCTTGTTTAGTTTCTGGAGCAGTAGCCTGCATTGAAGCCTGTTTATTCTCCTTAGAAGGCTTCATACCATTCGCAGGTGACTTTGCTTCATCTTTATCAAAGAAATCATCAGGAAGAGATCCCTTTACTTGTTTGGTTTCTAACACAGTGACATGTCTTGACACAGGTGGCTCAGTCTTCTTGGTTTGAATGGCAATATTTTGAGGTGAACCGTCTTTCTCATTCTCCGAATATAGCGACTCCCTAGCATGAGTTTGGGCTGAAATTCCAGGCTCTTTGTTTGAATTAGGATCTGGCAACTTGACAGTTACTGCTACAAAAGGGAATTAATTATGTCAAGCCTAATTACAATGTGATACTTACAAAGTACACTATTAAAACAAGCTTCCGAATATATCAGAAGAAATAAAGTGCACAACCCATGTCTAAAGTTCTGATAAATGTCAGTTTAGCAACAATGCTTAATTCTAAGAAAACTTTAGACCTATTATAGGAGCTTACTTTAATCAAAGAAGGTTTAATTTGGTGTAATTAGCCTTCATATGAAATTAAATCATAGCTGTTTCATACTTCAAATCCAAACCTTTGAATCATCATTACCAGGATGTTACCATTCACAGCAATTTCATACTGCTGACACCTGTATACATGCAATCCAGACTGAAAAATATAACCTTTGTACCATTTATCACTTAAACAACTTAAATCCTCTATGTATCTGAACCTATGGAATACAGATCTAGACCACCTTCTTATGGGACGGCAGAAAACCTCCAATAAGGTTGGATACATAACTAGTACTGCAGAAAAATTAAAAATTTATAAAATTTCACAAATGGGACAAATATCACCACTCATATGCTCTGTCTTAAATAGGTTAGACCAAAAGCACATTTTTTATCCACATACGATGTCCTTTTCTTGTCTCAGCTTGCAAAATAGTCTACAAATGAACAAAGATAAATGAACTTGCTGCAGTAACAACTTAACAAATTTTAAAATTAAAAGAAATATGTCTTACTTGCTTATATTTTGCATTTAATTGGTGAAGGCATGTCTCACAAAACCAATGAAATGTATTATCAAAAACAGACCATCAAATGCAAAAACAGTCAGAAGATAAGAGAGAGCAACTACCAAGAAATCAAAAGGAAACGGATGCTCCTAGCTGATTTGTTTAATTGACACATATAATTTATGTTAAGTTCAACCTTGTTTTCTGAAAAAGTTGGTCCTAGGGTTGATTGTGCTGATAGCGATGTAGATAGAACAAGAATCAAAACACTCGAGAAATACTATGAATTCCCAAACACAATTCTCAAATATCAATAACCAAACACTCAAATATCCAGAAAATATCAATAATTCATAAATCCAAGCCTACGCAAAATTAAAACAAGCAAGGTACAGCCAAAACCCTAGTAGAAAGGCAAAATACAAAGTACAACCCTTAAGCCCTAAGACTTGGAAAATAAGTAAAATACTAATTAATATAAATAATTAAAATATTCTGTAGTATCCAAGATATATATAATAACTACAGTTAAACCCATCAGATATAATAAAGAAACAAAACAAAGTCCGAGATGGTTTAATCCTTATGCTAGTTTCCTTCCACTCTTCATCAGATTGTATAGATGGTGTACATCATAAATGATTGTTTGATTGGGCTGATACCATAAATTATTGATGAGGCTATTATTATAAACAGTCCATATGATTTAGAAATTTTTTAGAGCTTCTTACTCATGCTTCACCTTTCATCATGATAATAATAATATAAAGAGAGAGAATATGTCCTGGCTATACATATTGTAGTTTTCAAGAATCGGTAGACGGCATTATCAATAACAGCACTTCATTGATCAAAACACATTAAAGTTTGGAAACTATTTAGAGACTCCATAAATAGGAATGTGAAATGAGTCCAACATAGATCCAACTCTTTTGTGTCAACACATATCCAACACAAAAACCAAAGATGGGAATGGGTATATGACTGCTACACAAATCCTTTGTATCACTGAGAATAAAAAGAATATGAGAAATATCAAATTTGCAAAGCACAAAGTTCAGATAAGTGATAAATATTGTAGTTTTCAAGAATCGGTAGACAGCATTATCAATAACAGCACTTCATTGATCAAAACACATTAAAGTTTGGAAACTATTTAGAGACTCCATAAATAGGAATGTGAAATGAGTCCAACATAGATCCAACTCTTTTGTGTCAACACTTATCCAACACAAAAACCAAAGATGGGAATGGGTATATGACTGCTACACAAATCCTTTGTCTCACTGAGAATAAAAAGAATATGAGAAATATCAAATTTGCAAAGCACAAAGTTCAGATAAGTGATAAATATTGTAGTTTTCAAGAATCGGTAGACAGCATTATCAATAACAGCACTTCATTGATCAAAACACATTAAAGTTTGGAAACTATTTAGAGACTCCATAAATAGGAATGTGAAATGAGTCCAACATAGATCCAACTCTTTTGTGTCAACACTTATCCAACACAAAAACCAAAGATGGGAATGGGTATATGACTGCTACACAAATCCTTTGTATCACTGAGAATAAAAAGAATATGAGAAATATCAAATTTGCAAAGCACAAAGTTCAGATAAGTGATAAATTTCCCCAATGATTTAACAAGAAAAAAAACCTTCTTTCAAGCAATATATGGAATAAAGCACCACCTAAAAAACACAGTAACAGGCACACAGTATAGGCATGACACAATAAAGACATGGTGATACAGCAATTTCTACAAAATTAGAATATAGGTACGACAAGACACAGCAATAAAAACATTTTTTAGGTAAAAAAATCAATATAAATGTAAAAATCAATACTTTTCACTTAAGGAATTATTTAGTTAGTTGTTTTAGTTTATGGTTTAATTGTTGTTATTCTAATAATTGAGGAATTTACGACAAAAAATGCAAAAATTGAACAAGCATCCTGAGTCCAACCCTGTCCCATGTGTACGGGCATGCCTGACCCTTTTCAATTTTTTTATTTTTTTGGCATGTCCAACATGTATTCCACTGCATCGGATACGAATACGACACTGCTGCGCATGGGTAAATGGTGTGTCCAGGCTTTCATAGAGCACCACTAGTGGATAAACGGATAAAAGCATCCACAAGAAAACACCACGCTTCACTTATTCTCATGCACTTATACCTTTTATATAGATGCTAACATAAAATAAATCTTGAAACTAGCATCAAAAGTAAAGCAGCTGCAAACCAACATTTTCTTTAGGGAATCAATCTAAATGCAGCCAAACAAAGAGAAAAAAAAAAAAAAGCCATATTCAATAGTTCTTACCTGTTTTTTGCTTCTCTGCCTCATGAGTATCAAAAAAACCTGCAGGCAACCCAGGTTGTGTACTGCTAGCCTGAGTATGCTTAGCTGCTTTAGCTTTCAAGTTATTAATTGCCTGTCCCAACATAATGCCTCTCATCAGTAAATTCTTAAATAAGAAAGATAGAAGATAAAACTAGAGTAGTACAGCAGATAACAAATCAAGGAACATGTAAATCAATGTGTAACCAATAAATCATGGAACATACAATCGATGAGAAAAGTGAAACTGCAGATCTCAGTAGCAAAATACTGGGGAAAAAATGAATTATGATGCCAAGGAATTCAAGTCTTCATTCTACTTCTATTTCTACATTTCCTATAACAAGACGTCTCAAAGCTGGAAGTACTTTTGATTTTGCACTAAATTATGAATTAATCACAAGAAAAGTTCAAGATAACTCATAGCTCTCATTGCAAGAAAAGTTTTGGCATTTTGCAGGAAGACTACTTATAAATAAATAAATAAACATATACATATATCATAGGTTTAAAAAGAACACAATTGCGGTATTTGAAGCTAACTGACCTCACCAAAAATTGAATAAATAGATAAACAAATGAAAATAGATACTGTAGAAGGTCAGAAATTGCCTTGAAATCCATATCCAACTGTCTGTTTCAAAATAGACCAGGATGTATTTACTCAAAGACTTGATATGCTATCACTATATTGTACAAATTAATAAATCACTCAAAGTGACAGACTATACAATTTACATGAGCAGACAACTGTCCAAACACATTTGAAAACCCCTTCAGATTATGGTCCATAAACAATAGACAGAAGAACATATGCCCTAAGATTAAGGAAGCAAACAAACAGTGCAAGTTCTAGTTTCAATGTACTCCAACTTTCATCAACCTTGCAAAAAATAAACCAATATTTTGGCAATAGCATAATCATATCACAACTAATCCAACAAAAAGTAATTCCTTAAACTTTAAAGATTGTATGAAAAGAACTTAGCACATTTATTTCAAAGTCAGAAGAAAGAAGTAATATGAAGAGATGCAAGTTGGTTATGTTGTAGCATTTTTATCACATCCCATAAACCATCTTACCAGTCAACTGTCTTCAACACCTAATCAATGAACTAAAGACTGCTCTCAAAGGCACACAACATAATCAGACATCCACTACCAGAGCCATGCCTTGTGAGTTCTCACATATGCAAATTGAACTATGCTTTCTAATCCACACCAAATGCATAAGATTACCACATGCAGTCATTTGCCTATGCAGTTGCTCAAAGGCCAACCAACCTACATGACCTCCTACCGACCAAAAAATAGAGCTACACTTAAAAATGTAAATGCACTCCAAGCAGTAGGTAACGTTAACCTTAAGTTATGAATTTGGATCGGTTGAAATCAAGATACACAAGGATCTTTTAGATAGACCTACTACCCACTCAGGACAGATTAAAAGAATCTTCAAACCAATAGAGCTTAGTACAAAATGCCTAAGACCAGAAACCAATCACTCTTCGTCCTCACATATCTGCTAAAGATAGTGAAATGCCTCAACCCATAGAACCAACTCTTGTGCAACAAAGGCTATGCAAGTCATTCAGAGCTGAGCTCTCAAAAGACAGTGCAACACACATGTGGATTAATGGATAGAGTAATGGCACTCTTGTTAAGTGGATTAACATCATAATAACATTATGAACCTGCTTTTGGCATAAAGTTTATGTCAGAGTCCAAAGTGTCATTCACAAGGAAAGCAAAACATTACCTCATGATGTTTACGAGAAGCTTGGTGTACATCCCAATGGGATACAGATTTTAAAGCAACATCACAAACCCGACAGACAGGTTGGTCAGATTCATTGTACCTATATCAAAAGAAAAGAAAGAGGAAATACAGTCAGAAAATAAGTCACAACTACTTTAAGGTGTGATATAGCCATCATCTTTTAAAGATGAAAATTAAAACTGCTATGAAGACTAAAATATAACGAGCAAAAGATACAGATTTAAAGAAGATAAAAGAAATCAAACCAGAAGGATACATTTCAGACCAATTCTTTAGAAAATAGGCATTGAAAAGCACCCCCAGAACAACAATATCTTCATTTCAGGGGATAAAGAATATGTTTATAGTTATAGACGGTCGTGATGTGGTGAATTTACCTGACAAGAGGAGAATCTATGCGCTTGTCCTTCTTCTGAGCATTCAATTTAGCACGAAACAACGCCTTGTTCCTCGCTTGGGCGTCCATTTCCTCCTAATAATCTTAACAATTGATAAAAAAAAAATTCTTCACCACAAATTGGAAAAAACTTGCTTCCTAAGAAAATAAATTCATATAATCAGTATCATAAAAGGTACAAATTATCACGACAATGGACAGAAAGCGGGTTAAACTCCAAGCTGAAGAAACCAATATTTTAATAACCGGCCCGATATCGAACTGGGGGGCAGTCCGCTTCCCGGTCCAACTAGTTCAACCCGCAGGTCCAATGTCCGAGCCCCTATTTAATTTTCAAAAAAAGAAAAAGAAAATTGGGGAAAAAAAAGAAAACAAATCAGAAAAATTTTAAATAAAAAAGATAAAACCAAATAATACAAAAAATTAAATGAATAAATTTAAATTCTGAAAGGCGACTTAAATATAAAAAATCAATATGATACAATGAAATAACAGTAGCTTCAAGAGTCGGAGTTAGAACTTGGATTATACGAAGAAGAACGAAGCAGGTGAAGCGTGAGAAGGAAGGGGAAGAAGCAGATGAAGCAGAGAGTCAAGAGAAAAGAGAAGGCAGTTGCAACTTGCAATTAGGAGCTAGCCACCATTTCGGGGTTTTTTTTTTTTTTTTTTTGTGGGCTGGAAAAACTACAAAGAAACGAGGATGCCCTAAACGAAACCAAGGACTTGGCTGAAGAGCCGAACTAAGGATTAAAAAATATTAAAAATAGGCTTTTAAACTTTTAAGTGCCTTACAAGATGTTACAGAATTCTGTCATTATATTGTTAAAAAAAAAGGTTAAAATATATAAAAAATTCAGTTTTTTAAATTAAATTTTAAATTTTAATTTATAATCATGTAAGCATTTCATTTTGAGCTGAATATTGACTATCGTTATAGTCAATACGGAGCAGATTTTTTTTTTTTTATGTGACGACGGCGTGAGAAAATTTTAAAAAATTAAAAAATTATTTAAAATTAAAATGTTCATTAAGATAAGATTTTTTTATTTAATTCGATTTAAATTTAGATATTAAGCCCTTGTTAGGTATGAATTGACTTTTGAATTATAAAGAAAAATAAAAAAATACAAACTAAAGTAACTTATATACTTTTATTAATTTTTATAGAATAAAAATAATTATTTTATATTAAATTTATTTAAATATATTAAAAATTATATTATAATAGTATAAAATTTTAAAAATAATTTTTTAAATTTGATGAATTGAATTGAATCAATTAAATTAGATTTAAATCAAATCAATTTTAAAGGAAATTTAATTAAGATTTTAATCAATTTTTAATAATTTATAATACTGTATATTAATTATAATACTATAGCTGAAAATTAGCTGATTTTAATAAAAAAGTGATAAAGATAGTTTTCTTGCAGTGAAAATGCTTTAGGTCGATAACATTTTAAATATTAAATAAAAATCTCTATATTTTTTAACACTATCACATAGCCTAATTATTTTATATTTTGACCAAAGTAGTTAAATTACATGAGAAAATAAACAAGCAAAAAGTAATGTGCAAAATGTAGAAAGAGTGATGACTAACAAGTGTAGTAAATTTATATGTTGACTGCATGAATTACCTAAAACATTGTGTTAAAAATTTACTTTTTGTCATAAACTAATTTATAATTTTGAAAAAAAAAAAACTAATTTACATATTGAGATTGTACTTAGCTTCAAACCCGTTGATGCTTCTAATTTTAAAAGTTTACATTTATTATATACAATTTAAGTGATATTTGAAGATAAATTTTCTAGGTGATAGAAAAAAATGTTTCCAACAACCCATAACACTTTTTAGGCTAAAACCCAATTCTCATCACTAAGCCCATGAGATTAAAATCTGATAAAGTATAAACTCCATATGTGAAAATAATACACCAAATTCAATCAGCAAAAGCTAGAAACACACGTAACCCCATCATGGAACATATAATAACTTTAATCGCCTTTCTCTAATTACATCCATGTCATATTACAGTATACAAAGACATTGGCTTAAATAACTTCATTTATTTATTTATTATTATATGTTATGTAAAGTATGAATATATTCAGATATTACGTTCTTATTATTAGATTTGTAATATATGTTTTTCACTATTTTCATCTTAAATTAAATGATTTTGGTGTAATAATAAATAAAACTAAATGCATGCATAAAAGATGTGTTTTGTTATAATTTCATTATGTATAATAAATATATAACCAACATTCATTTTAAATTATTTTTTAGTATATATAAATTTAAAGCAAAATGTTATAAATTTTTTTTCTTTTATAAGTTAAATAAGACCATAGGTCTTCTATAACAATATATAAAATATAGTTATATTTTTTTATTTACATTACAATAATATTTTTTTAATGTTTTCACATGTCCAATGATATATATAGAACACTAGTAGTATCTATAAAATTTCTTAAGGAAATAATTAAGAATAAAATAGGTGAAAATTAATTTTTTTATATAGACGATGTATCGAAACTTTGGTGTGGGGTTAGATTAATATCACATAGATAAGAAGATAATAATATATGACAAAATATTCATTAACCAAGTAATTAATTTTTAATTACAAATATTGCTAAATTTAAAAACAAATTAAATTATTGATGTTTTTACTATAGATATGAAAAAAAAAACGAAAAATATTTTCTCTAAATTTAAAATCACATGCATCTCTTCAATTTCTTTTCAATTTTCAAGTACCTTATTATTAGTTATTTTTTAAATTCAAAAACACATTTAACTTTAAATCTATTAATATTAATAATATATGCTATGTCATTTTTTTCGGTATTCAAATTTTCTTTAAGATTTATATTGCTTTTGTGATTTTGTTGATTTTATTTAGATGATTTCTTGTTTTGACATTATTTTTGTTTGTCACACATTTCTTAATTGATTTTGTTTTTCAATATTTTGATCAAAACCATAATCTAGCAAAGCAATACCAATACTTCTTTTATTATTTAATTGATTGTTTGATATTTATGTTCATCTAAAACATCAATATTATATTTATATTCAAATTTTTTTATTTTTATCCATATATATCTAATATCTCCTATTTCTTCACATGAAACATTTTGATCAAAATAATAATCATAAAATTTAGTTTACTTAGGACATGTTAATTGAATATATGTTTATATATTATGTGTCATAAAGTTTTAAAGATTTAGATATAATTGTAGAAAAAAATACAAAATTTGCAATATAAACACATTTAAGTAAATTAAATAATTCATGTATGGGCCATAAATTAATTTTATATAAAAAAATAAGTCAATTAAAAATTTAGAGAGAAATAAATATAATTAATATATTGAAATATTTTTAAAATTATATAAAATCAAATAAAATTAATTACACGTAGCATATGTTACGATTTTTAAGAAAAAAAAACTAGACTATCCATTTTAAAATTTTTATCAAAATTTTGGTTTTTAGAAATTTTAGAATGAAATTTACATTAAAAAGTGTTATATGTTTTTAATTATCAATTTTAATAAATTTAATGGATAAAATTAATTTATTTTTTATTTTTTTAATTTATTAAAAATAAAAATTTAAAAAATTAAAAATTAAAAATGAAAAATTTTATACTGATGTAATCATTCCTAAGATTTATATCATATTATTAAACAAAAATAACAAAACAGATCAACAAAATAAAGAGAAGACCAAAAAAAGGCGTTTCTTCAGTCTCGTCTCTTCTTTTACTCTGTGCTGCGTCGCTTCTACTGGTACCTCACCTTTGATTCTCTCTTCTGCTTTTTCCCCATTTCTTTACTTTTATCTGCGAAATCTACTCTCGATTTCGTTTGCCCACTCTTAGTTTCTTGCTTGTATCTGAGCGACTAGGGTTTTCAGGAATCCAACCCACTCTTTCCTTTTTCATTTTCCTTCCATCACATTGTCTTCACTGTATTTGCTAGGGATCCAACCGTTTTCATTAATCTCAAATTTATATATCTCTCTTGTAATTTTTTTTCTTTTACTCTTTCTGTTTAGTTCATGTCTTCAATAATGTAGGTTTATTGAATATTGTTTTAATTTGTCTCTGTCATGTTTGACAATTTAGGTTATTAACGTTTCACTTACTGTTATTTGTTCGAATTTGATCTGCTTTTTAATTCATTTTTTTTAGATTTTTTTTGTTTCTAGTTCTAACTTGTTTGCCTTTTTTTTAATACTTTTTTTTCTCTCCGAAACTCTTGACATGCTTTTATTTTTGATGATATTTGCTTTCTTGTTGTAATGCAGATTCCGACTTAAAGTGTAAATTGACATTGAGATTGTTGGGACTGTTCATTACAGAGATGGCAAACTTACAAATAACTGGTATACTGGAAAAGGTATTGTTATTTATATGCTCATTTAAAATAATTCTTTGTGTGTGTGTGTGTATTTTTTTTTTTTGCTTTCCTCTGTGCTTGCTTCATCTCTTACATTTTGATCAAGTTTATAGATGAATAAAGAAAAATTAGAAAGACTTTTCTGATAAAATTTTATGACTTATTTATCTCTTCCTGCAGATGACCGGGAAGGATAAAGATTACAGATATATGGCTACATCAGATTTATTGAATGAGCTGAACAAGGAGGGCTTTAAGGCTGATTCTGACCTTGAAATAAAGTTGTCAAATATTGTCCTTCAGCAACTCAATGATGTAGCTGGTGATGTTTCTGGATTGGCTGTCAAGTGGTTAGTTTTCTGTTCTCTGTCCTCAGTTTTTTGGATTAATAAGTATGTGTATTTTAGGCATATCATTTTTGTGCTGACCATCATGCTAGGCCAGTTTACTTTATGACATGGATATATTAAAAGTTTTGTTGCTTTAAGCATATCATAATTACTCTTAATTCGTGTTGTCATTTATTGTGATTAAGGTTGCTCTAATATCAATAATAGGTGATTGAATGTATTAAGAGGTTTTAAATTTTACAGACTGATCCAGTCTGTAGCTTTATCGAAGTATGCTGAACATTTTGATTTTGGTTTGTGATGGGTGGATTGATTTGCAGATTGTCTAAGTCTCTTACCAAATTACGGGCTACCTCGTCTGTGACCTTTATGTGAATCAAATGGATGTTGCTGTGACATCCTCATTGAATTGACTCTGCCATGTTTTTTCCTGGTTCTTATATTGCTTCTTGTTTGAGTTTACTCTGATTTTAACTTTTTATTGCAGTCTTGCTCCATTGGTGAAGAAGGTTGGTGAACCAAGAGTTGTGGAGATGACCAATAAACTTTGTGAAAAATTGCTTAATGGCAAAGATCAGCACCGTGACATTGCAAGCATAGCTTTGAAGATGATCATTGCTGAAGTCTCTACGCCATCTCTTGCACAATCCATTTTAATTTCTCTATCTCCTCAACTGATGAGAGGAATAACTGGCCCAGTAAGTTTCTAAATGCGGCTTGTCAAAGCATCATGACTGAAATCACCAGTGAATTTCATTTGAAAGTGTTTCTTTTGGAAAATACTGTTTTAGTTATCTATTCAGTTAAATCTACTAAGTTCTGATGCAGAAGTTTAATTGCAAAAAGATTTATGGCCAATAATATTTATCGTATAAATATCTGGAAAATGCTCCTTCATTTATGGTTGTATCATGCTAAGCATATATCTGACCATGACCATAGATAAACTTTAAGGCTAATATAGTTTCCTTTGATTTGTTGTATTTTTGCAGTGAAAGAAATATAATTTTGTA